ATCTTATGATATTTTTATTATTAGATCTTTTCTATATTATTCATAATTATCTTCAGAATAGTTTTTATGATTAAAGTCATGATCTTTAAGTTATTTTAAAATATTCACCATTTTCATTAAATTCTTTTTCATAACATCTTCTTCATCGACATTTTTATTAATTGTCACTTTTAAAATAGACTATAAACAACGTATTAGATTTTCTTCATCTGATAGAAATAGTAAACAGTTTGAAATGTTTTCTTTTCTCAACATCTCAATTGTCACCTTATATACTGATTAATCGACATCTTTGGATGAAGCTAATATATCGTACAAATTATTTTTCCATTCCATTTCTTTTTTAAAATAAATATTATTGAATTTCTATTACTTTTATATTAAGTTTTATATTATGAATCGAAAATATCTTAGACATTAAAGTTAAGATAAAGACAAAACATAGTTAAAATGAGGCTGTGAATGTTAATAATGTAAAATTAACCCATTTTAAATGATAAGGACTAATGCATAGCTTGAATCTTTAAAATATAGAATATATAAATAACTAAAATTTCAAATGTATTTTAAGTTAATAAAATGTATTCGATATATTGATATAAATATATATAATAATGGGTTTGAGGTTGGTGCTAAAAGATATTTTTCCCTAATGCTCATAAATATTCTCTCAACTAATTTTGCGTTAACTTCAGGTAATTTTGATAACTCAATTCATTTATGGGATGTTAAAACAGGATAATAAAAAGCCAAATTAGATGGTCATTCCCGTAAAGTCCTATCAGTATGCTTCTCACCAGATGTAACTACTTTAGCATCTGGTAGGGGTGATTAGTCAATCAGATTGTGGGATGTTAAAACTGGAAAACCAATAAATCAAACTGATAATCGTTACAGCAAAATTTTAGCTTAATTTTACACACCATTGTTTTACAATAGCCAACTTCCATAAAGCAGTATATATATTTCTATATTTTTTTAAGTTATTAATCATCCAAAATTAATTATATCCTCAGAACCTACTTTTTATGCTTAAGGTGCTTTAATTTTAAATGGATAATTTTTAACTCATTAAGGTTATGATCTGAAACATTTAATAAAAACCTAAGGAGGTTACTTTTTGGAAAGTAATTTAGAATTATTTCAAAAGAAGAATTGATTATTATTTTTCAATCAAAATAAATATGTTTATTAATGACATTTATTTTA